CACACACACACACACACACACACACACACACACACATCTCCTCCTTCTATACAGCTCATGCACAATGGTCTGCAATTCTCAGCAAAACCAGGAGCACTGAAAATCTTTTAGAAGGATAAAAAGGAGTGGGCATTTACAGTTCTTTAACAATGCTGCAAAGAAACTATCTGAACAGTTGTGTGCACGTGTACATGTGCATGTGCTCTCTCTACTTGCCTGACAGCAATGGAAACCTCTATCAATAAGGAATCACAGTTGTGCACTTTAAAGCATAAGACTGAGTTCAGAAATTATGGTTTTATCTCAGCCTGTGTGTGATTTTTTAAAGAATCTTTTCATCTATCCGTGAATTTCACTTCCTTAATGTTTTGTAAAATCCTTGGAAGTCCTCAGATGTCAGTGCTAGAAAGGGAAAAAAATATGTGAGTGCTAGGAAGGGAAAAAAGTGTTGCCCAGAATTTGGAAATTAGAAGATGTCACACACGTAGGCTTCTTTTGGTACTGAAACAAGCTCACAAATCTCCTCTCCCACAAACCCAACCTTAAAGACAATTATGTTGGCTCAGTCATTTTGGGAGCAGCAGAAAACTAAATGAATACACACATACACACAAAAAGAAAGACCAGGAAAATGAGATTAGCAAAGGCAAAGCAAGTATTATGATAATTAGTGGCTGAGGATGTAAAAAAGAAATAAAGGCACAGTATGTATGGTACATAGTGAAAACCTGAAATGGTTGAAACTAAAAAAAATAAAATTAAATAAAATTAAAAAAAAAAAAAAAATTGTGTTTCAGGCCTCAGTCCCTTCTCCCAACAGGCCCAAGCTCTAACTGCACAGGTCCAGACATGACCCTAGAGGGCAGAGACTGAAGTCCATCCAATCACCTCTCAGAGGAAGTGTTGGACAATTTTTTGGTGGGGAGGGGAAGAAGGGGTGAAGGTTATGTGAATAAAAGCTACCAAGACTAACATTGGTACGTCCACACTTAAATGGCACTGAGATGCACAGCACACAGCCACCCTTTTAGCATATGAAAAAATGGAGGGGGTTACATAATTTACACTCTTCAGTAATCTGAAAACTTTTTTCAGTACCACTGGATTGATTATGCTTATAAAGCTTTTTACATAGTCTGCCATAATGAATCAGACTACTCTGGCATCAACTCTAGTATACCTCATGAGTTTGGGGAGTGTAAAACTGAAGAACTGCTTTAAAAGTTTAAGTATTTCTAAATTTATACATTTGCCAGATGCAAGGGAAAACAAATGTTTAAACACATTTCATGTTACAAATATGCTCATTAAAAAGGGGGTGTTTTAGCTCATGCATCCAAACATATCATTTTCATATCACTGAAATAAAACTATGGAATTCTGATTCCATGCGTGCTTGGCTAGGATATGTAGTAAAAGGCTCAATATCACTTCAGTGGTCCTGCCTAGGAGGAACACAGAATAAGAATGGCTAAATGCATAAACAAAAAGTCTGGAGCAGTGCTTTCCCAGACAAGAGCACCTATAACGGGCACATTGTGTCTATGTAGGGAACTGCCTACACATGAGCAATATGTTGAAAATGAAGAATGATTTGATGTTGAACTGCTCTCCCATATGTTTTCTCTAGTGCATCTTTCTCAAACCCCCCGTAAATTGGGAGCAAAACAGCCCTACTATCCAGCCACAAAAAACTGGATTTGGGAAGGAGGTGGGTGTGGTGAAAAGATTGGGTTGCATAATTGGACGTCTCTTCTCCCTCTTGGCGATCGATTAGTCATGCCTAGGCCTTGCTGCAGACCAAAGCCTGTTCATTAGGAGCAGGAAGAGACTTTGAATATGAAAGAAAAAAAAAAGATTAACGTTAAAAAAGGCATTTCACATGTGGGGGAAAATCACGCTTTGAATTTAAGAAAATACATGTTTCAGTCCAAAGAAGAAAAAATATGGAGCAGCAGGCAAGAGAAGCCTGTTTGTACAAACCTAGACCACGGGATGCAACGTCTGTAGCAATGAGGATGGGAGCCTTTCCAGAACGGAATTCTGCAAGGTAAGAATCCACTATGAAGTAAGATAAGGATAAATTCATTGACTGCAGCAAGAAGTGGCACCTTTCCAAAACCCAAAATTTGGTTGGAATTTTTTTTGACAGGAAAAACATAATCCAAGCAAGACTGCATGGAATTTGTCACATCTTTTCTGAAGGTTTCTGCTGCATTTCCCATGAAAAAGGCTTCAGTACTGAAGTGATGAAATACAAAGGCTGAGCATGGTTAGAATAAACTAGAAATGGGGTTGGCAACCCCCTGCACGTGTCCAGCAACAGCATGGCACATGAGGCCATTTTGCTTAGCATGTCACAGCTGGCCTTGGGGCTGAGCAGCTACCACCAGCCACAGAGCCTGGACTACTCACAGCAGGTGGCAGGGAGGCTGTAAGCCCTGCTGCGAGCAGCCTGGGCTTCACGGCAGGCAACCAGGAACTAGTGCACCAGGGTCTGGAGCCTCAGCCTGGATCCGTGGCCAGCACTGACTGCATGTGCACCTCAGGGCGCACAGCGGAGAAGGGGTCTCGGGCAGCAGAGCCCCAGCCCCTTCCCCATTGTGAGCCCCGAGGCACGTATGCAGGTGCCACCTTGGAGCTGGGCCATTTCTCTGGACCCAGGTGCAGCTGTCTGCAACCTGCCCGCCACCTGCTACAAGCAGCCCAGATTCTGTGGCTAGTGCCCCAAAATGCAAGTGCAGCTGCCACACAGCTGGGATGGGGCAGCACAGCACCAGGCCCCTTCCCTGCCATATTCCAAGGCACATGCACAGCCACTAACGTCAATGAAGAGCCAGGGCTCTGGTCCCCGGTGCAGCCGCTCGCAGGCTCGCAGCTGTTTGCTGCAATGAGCCGAGGCTCCATAGCAGGCAGCAGGGGCCTGCCCACAGCCCAGGCTACTCAAACGCTTGCGGCTGCCTACTGCAAGTGGCCGCACCAGGGTCAACAGCCCCAGTCCACCCTGCTGCCGGCAGTGGCTGCACACGTGCCTCCGGGAGCATGGTGGGGAAGAGGCCGTGGCTGTGCTGCCTCAACAATGTCCAGGCCCCTTGCAACTCCCTCGCCATCCGCCCCAGCACACTAACATCTTCCAAGTCCAGGTTGTGGAGGGCTTTTGGCACTCAGACCAAAAAATGTTGTTGACCCTTGAACTATACTAAAGACATGCAATAGTTCCAAATGCCCACTTCCCAAACTTGGACTTACCATTAAGCACCCAATCTCTTTCTGGCTGACTCTTGTCTCCATGGATACACATAGCTGGCCAACTGTCAAGTGAGAGATGCACATGATTTTAGACAGCAAATGCATATACTAGATATAAACAGGAAATTATTGTTTTGAGGGAAGTGGGCAAGTATTAAAAGCATTCCAAGCACCACACACTGCATTCCTTCCCTCTTGCTTTTCCTTTTATCTAGAAAGTAAACTTGTTGGGAAGGATTCAACTCCATACAATTTGGGAGAACCTGGCAAGTTTTGGGGTGCTTCAGAATTAGCTTTTAATCTAACCATATCAGTTTTATTGACAGGGCTCTTAACACTATTAGTCCTAACTGGATGTTGTACTGCACATGGAAGATGCTGTCCTAAATCCAGACCAGCATACTACTCTTCCTGAGCCAGTGTTTCATAGATTCATAGATTGTAAAGGGCTGGAAGGGACCTCACAAGATCATCGGGTCCAGCACCCCTGCACTAGGCCGGAACAACAACTGGGGTCAGGTGACCTCAGTCAGGTGACTGTCCAGTCTCCTCTCAAAGATTTCCAGGATAGGTGATGTGACAGAACCTTTCTGGAGTCTCGATACTAATCTGGCTAAGAAACTGAAGGGACACATCACTGCATCAAGTCTAGGAATAAACTCCCCCAGTGAGTGCCATTTTGAGTTTCTTCATGACAATTAAGAATTAAGATGCAACAAAATAGTTACCCATCTCTACGCATTCTCCGAGTAAGGTCATCACATCTTCTCTTGGTCTCCACAAAGATTATAGTCTTGTTTTCTTTCTCTGCCATAATTTCTTCCATCAATTGTATTAGTCTAAAAGAGAAGAAAGAGCTGTGATGTATGAACACTAATAAAAAAAGTGAGTTTGCAGCTTATTGAGAGAATTCATATAATAAACTACTATTTTAAAAGACTGGTTCAGTACGTATTATGCAGAATTAAATTAACAATATTATTGAAAAACTAAGGTAAGCACTATATAAGCAACTGTGCGATTATGGGGCTAAACTGTTTAAATTCCAGAGGTTAAACAAGTGACACAGTTGCTAGTTAATTGCTCTGGACCAACTATTTTTAAAACATATTTCTGTACAACAAAGATTTTATATTCCCAGCCCTGCAGGAAGATTAGAATAGTAGAACAATGCTCATACTTGTGGTCCTTTTCACTCTCCATGCATACATCCACTATCTGCAGGATGTTGTGGTTGGCACTCAGTTCCAGATTGCCCACATTTATCTGCACATATTCACGCAGAAAATCTTCAGCAAGCTGACGCACTTCCTTTGGCCAGGTGGCACTCCACATCAGAGTCTGCCTGTCAGGCTAACAGAAAAAAACAAAGGATGTTATTTGGACATCATATTTTGAAAAGAAATTTAAAGAAAACGGTACTTCAAAGATGTCACGCACCCTTATTTGGTCAACAATTTTACGAATCTGAGGTTCAAAGCCCATGTCCAACATTCTGTCTGCTTCATCTAACACTAGATAGGTACATCGACGAAGGTTGGTTTTTCCAGCTTCAAGGAAGTCAATCAAGCGGCCAGGTGTGGCAATGCAGATCTCAACACCTTCAAATACATAACAAGGGGAAGGAGTAAAAGTGCTTCATTACATGTTCAATATTTTACCTATCAGAATAAATAATCATCAAGAACAACGTTTTAACAAAATCATCTGCTCTCAGATGGCAAATCTGAGTCACTACTTTTTCACTAGCAATCCTACGTATCCCTTAATAAATAGCTGCATTACCCATTCCAAGTTACTGTTATGGTACTAGAACCTTGAGTACAGTAGTCCAGGAAATGAACACCTACTGCCAGAAAGCAGGGGAAGACAGATGGTTTACAGATTCAACCACAGCAGAGAGGGTAAGAAAACTACCTTAAACTTCTAGCTGAGCTCAACCTGTGTGTCTGACTGCTACATATAAAGAGCTTCATATCAAAATAAGGAAAGCATGGATAAGTAATGAACTTATACTGGTTGGAGACCACTTTGGTACACCCCCCCCGGTCTTCAGTAACTACTGTGTACACATACTACCTTGTGGCAAGTGGACCCTAAATCACAATGACTTTGTTCCATTTCATTCAGGAGTAAGTTTTCCCAGTTTTCACTTAGCAAGATAGGAGTGGACACTTGAAAGATACCACAGAACAGCTAATACACAGTAAGTCTCCTTTGACCTTATTTGTCTGTCTGTACCCCAAGAAGTTAGACAAAGTGTGAGCTAAAACCACCAGGAGCACAGGAAGCCATATTTCTACTCAACAGCTACTAGGTAAGTCAAAGCTTTCACTTTCTTAGCTGGCTCTAGATAAGGAAGAGAGTAGTGCTTTAATTAGGCAATTACTGTGTGGCTACTTGCTACTGTAAGAGATGGCATACAAATCTGGACAGGATGATGATTCTTATGTTCCTTCCACCAATTTCTAGTTGAGTCTCACAGCTGAACTTGAGAGGCACAGTTGTACCCACATAAAAGCAGCATATAAACAGGAGAAGAAAAAATTCTCTAACATACTCCCTATCCAACAGCTTGAGTAAGGTATCCCCTTCTTTCCAAAAGCTGCCAGCAGCTGCCTGAATCTTCTAGTTCGGGGCCCTAAACTGAATTCTTAGGGCAGCTTACAAAACAGAGTTAAAAAAAAAACCCATCCCCATACACAACTTACTATATCTAGAATGTAACACTTCTATCAGGTGTCCCAAGACCAAAAAGTCAGGGAGATTTTTTTCAGCTGCATCTCTGAACACATGCTGATATTAAACAGTACTCCATAGCAGGGTAAGTGCTCATAAAAAGAATTCCAGAAAAAGGTTTGCTGGTAGAACAGTTTTCCCCTTTCCACAGACTCTCCATATCTGAGAGGCTTTACAGTTCTCATTAACTGTTTACAAAGAGCAGGGCAATTTACCAAATGTACTCAAATACAAGACGAGCCC